CCCTTTACCTTATTGTTAATAACCATTAAAATTGTATTTTTCATTCTAGTATTGGCGTCAAGTATATTTGATCACAGTGCTTGCCATGATCCTGGCAGTGTTCTTTGCGCAGATTCATCCCAATTACCTCACACAGCAATGGCAAAGGCTCCGTTCTATCATCTTTTGTTCTGTTTCGGGATATGGAGTGATTCCTACTCTTCATTGGATTTGGCTCAATGGTGGAATTGGTGCTCCTATTGTACAGGTAGATTGATACACTCAATATTTATCTTCCCTTTTTTGTCTTTCAATTTTATTCCTTTTGGGTAAAGTCATAATTTGGGTGGGTCTTTATCAGTTGAGAACATATTTGTAATTGTGTATTAATGCCATAATTTTCACAGCTATATAAATAAGCATACCTTGCAAAAGTAAAGTCTGACTATTTTTTCTAAATTTCTTTCTGTGAACTAATATATTATTAGTTCTTTTTTGTGATTCTCAGTATATTAATACCCAAGTCTTTATCTGTGAAGGAGGAATTCAAAATTTCTAGCTTTTGTCTGCTGGGTCAGTGATGATACCAAGGGTAAAACAAATATTAGGTCATTGGGAAAGTCATGATGTATTTTTCTATGTTTTTCTATGCAAAAATGCATCATGACTTTCCTTATGACCAATAGAAAAGTAGGAGCAGTTGATATTGGTGGTGACAGGGAGGGACTGAAAAATCACACTAGCTGCATGTGCATGCATGCTCCAAATCCCGAGAAGAGGATGGGAGAAGGAATTGAGATGTGGCAATCTCCCTTGGGGATTTCTCACTTTCCCTCTGTCTCTGTCTCTCTCTCTGCTTCATAGAATAATACTCAAGAAGACCATTCATTGGGGATATTAAGACAGATATGTGTCTTAGGACGGCTTAGGCCTTTTCTAGCCATAATTCTCTGGTCTTTAGTCTCTTTGCTTATTCAGCTGGCAACTCAGTTCTCAAGTGGCACTCAGTTCCCATCTCTTCGACCCCTATGCCTATGTTGTAAATGGAGCAGGGTACTCACGGAGATCTTCGTCAGTGTTAAAGCTCAATTTGTAGCCTGATCTTTTGGGTGTTCTCTATGCTCCATTCTGTGGACTGCTTCTTGAAATAGTAAAAGCAAGGTTTCTGTTGTTGGAGACTATCAGTGAGTGAAACGATTTAGGTTTAACAATCTTAAAATCTGCCATTAGAGTCTTAGTACATTGAGATTTGGGTAACAGAAGGAAGATATTAAAAAACATGTTTTGTTTTTTAGGACTTTGCACCCCGTGTAATTGTGATGTATATGATTGCTGTTCTTGCTTTTCTATTCTACATTTCCAAAGTTCCAGAACGGTATTTTCCAGGTAGGTATCTGTCGTGTATTGGTTTTATAGCTTTATTGTAGTCATATGTTCAAGGTATATGCTTCAGAGCATCAAAACAAAACTTACTTTTGCAATATTATTGAGTGTTTCTATTCCCAAATGTTGCCTAAAACATTTTTCCACAAACATTTACTTACATATCAAAAAATTTTAACTCATACTCCATAGTTCTTGACAGTTAATAAACTTTCAAAATTTCAAAATATTGAATTTTGAAGATAATGTTTAAAATGTTTCTTATAATTTTATATAATTTTTGTTTGTGATTCTATAGCAACAGTATGGTTTTAAATGTTTGAGAAAATATTTTCATGTCAAATTGCTGAAAAGCAAATGCCCAGCACACTAGTCACACATAAACCCTCTTAATTCAGCCCTGCCCAGATATTCTGTGATATACCATCTGCTACCAAAGATCACACTCTTTTTCTTCCTTCAATGTCTTTCTCAAAATACTCCTCTGGTGTGGTTGCTCTTTTGCAGTCTCTACTGATTACAATGCTGGGCTTGAAAAGTCCAAGTTATTTTACGTTATGAATGTTTTCATATATCTTCTCTAATCCTCTCTGCCAGGCAAAACTATTTATGATACCAGGCTATCTTTCTAAGAGCTTCTGTTGGCTTACTTGAGATCCATCTTAGTTCCATAGTATTCTGATTAATCTTCAGATATGACTTTCCAGTCAAAGCCCTGTCCAATAATGCGTATTTCCAATTTCTGAATCAATGCAACAAACATTATTGAACTTATGCAAATAACCCTTCTGCCACAAAGTAAGAATATTCCCAAATATTTTCTAATTCCAGAGGGGTCAGGAAGGAAGAAAAGTTTATGTTTCCATTTAAAGAAACAAACAAGAAAGAAAAATATTTTAACATATTGCTGAACATATCAACAACTCAAAAGAAATTAAACTGTTTAAATTGGGAAAATAAAGCATAGTAAAAAAAATCAGTAATGTTTTACTCAAAAGTCATAAAATTCTATTTTGCCAGTTCAGTCTTATGTTCAAACCCTCTTCTTTTGAAAAGGCAGTGTTGCTGTGGTCCAATCTTTCCATTTAAATCCTGGAAGTTAACATTTTATGTTGTTATTGATATTTCTTGTCCCTAGCATTAAATTAGTTGTTTTCTTGGTTGCCTTTTGTTCTCTTATTTCTGAATGTATCTATAGTTTCACTGGTTGAGTACTCCTTTCAGAACTTCTTGAAGAGTGGGTCTCTACTACTGGCAAATTCTTTCAGGTCTTGTTTATCTGAGAATGTTTTTATTCTTTCTTTCCATATGAAAGATAATCTTGCTGGGTATAGTACTCTTGGTTGAAACTGTTTTTCACTTAACACTTTGAATATATTTTCCCATTCTCTCCTTGCTTGCATTGTTTCTGATGAGAGGTGTGAGGCTAGCCTGATAGGATAACCTCTATAAGTAATGTGACGTTTCTCTCTTGCCAATTTTAGCATCTTGTCTTTGTAGATTTGACCAGTCTTGCTATCATGTGCCTTGGAGAAGATCTTCTTGAGTTGACTCTATTAGAGTTCCTTTGTATTTCTTGGGTCTGGATATCTGAATGCCTCTTTATATTTGGAAAGTTTTCTTCCAAAATTTCATGGAATAGCTTATCAATGCCTTTATTAATTTCCTCACCTTCTGGGATACTGATTATCCGGATGTTTGGGTACTTAATGCTGTTCTGTCTCTGTCTCTGTCTTTCTGGCAAGTGCACGTGCTTTATAGCAAAAACCTCTTAAAACAACAACAAAAATTAATATGAATTTATCCACCTTAATTAACACATTACTAATTCATATTGCAGACTTTTCTGTCACTCAAAGAACACAAGATTCAGCCCCGAGCTTTCCTGTTGAATACCTGCTTAAAGTGAAAAAGTGCTTCTAGCAGGTTCATATCTAAACACAACAGTGAATTTGCTTCTCCTCACAAATTCAAACCTAAATTTCCATGATTTGTAACACTAGTTCCTTTTCCCTGTCTTTTAGTTCTTTCTACAACAGGTTGTGATAAGGAAGGCAAAAAGATCAAATTCCTGAAATTAACCTTAAATTAAGTTAAATTCTGAAAATGTACCTGGAATGGCATTTCAAAAATTCAGTATTATATTTAATACTAAAATCTTAAAATTAGATATCTCCAGTCAATCTCCAGGCACTTAGAATACCAAAATTTTTCTGCTACTAAGCTGTACTTCTTCCAAGGCCTGAGATAGAAATATGTTTTTCTTTTAAAGTCAACTTATTATAATGAATATTTTCTATCTTTCCTTTTAGGACAACTAAACTACCTCGGATCAAGCCACCAAATATGGCATATCCTTGCAGTAGTGATGTTATATTGGTGGCATCAGTCAACAGTGTATGTCATGCAGTACAGACATAGCAAGCCTTGTCCTGACTATGTTTCACATTTGTGAATTCAGGTATGGCCACCTGGTGAATTCAGCTGTTAAGCAATATATAATGGGGAGTTGTATACCCCACTATTTCTAAGGTCTTATAGTTTTTCCTATCGTCTCTTGTTTAATATATCACGAGTAATGCTTTATAATAATGGAAAAAATATACTTGGGGATCTATAATAATAACAGCTTTACAACCCTTAAAACTACTAATTTGCTGCTTATACAGGAAGTGAAAATTGGAGATCATAAGAAACAGCTGAATAACAACAATGAATGTGACCCTAGTGTAGAAATAGGATTTTTTTTTACTTAACACCAGCTTAATTTCTTTAGGAAGGGCTCATCTCCATTAGAAAATGGAGTCATCCTGTGTGATTACTTAACAGAAGATGTTTTTAGTAAATTGTCAAGTTTAAGTGCCTAATCAAGGCAAGGGTTGTCATAGCCTATGCTTAATATGAACTAGGATAGTGATTTTGAATAATCACTATCCTTTAAATACATAGTTTATGGAAACTGGCACTTAAGATAGTATTTCCTTTAGCTATAGGTTCTCTTCTCTTCAGGTAACATTGGAGTTTTGAGTTTGCCAGAACAAAAATTTTAAACTTCTCTTTTAAGTTGAGGGAGGTGTTTAGAAGAGGAACTTGCATTGTAATTTTCTATCAAATAAGAATCACATTAGAAACCAATTATGTGAGGAGGTAACAGATTCTCTGGTTTTATAACCAAGTCATTCACCACCACCTAAGCCTTTTAATTCCAGATATTGCTTAATCCCATTACATTGAATTCTCATGAGTGGATTTCAAAAGTTTTTGTTATTATTTTATTTTGTTTTGTTTTGATCTCCAAATTCCAAAAGAGCTTTCTCCTCTCTGAATTTGTAGTCCTAACTTTCTGTCATGGGGGTTCCCAGATAAATGGGTGCTACTTTCAAGGCCATATAATCTAGATGGCTCTGTCTTGACCCTGAAATGAACCTTAAGCCTTAGAACAGTCATGAGATACAATTATGTGGTTATTTATCTGTGCTCAAGTCCCCCATTTATGCATATGTTAACACTGGATTGATAACTAAAAATATTGATAACTATACTCTGATATTTGGACCTGAAGCATTAAACTTCCTTTTTATTGTGTACACTTAAAAATATTTGTCACTGTCCTGTCGTACAACTTATCCCTCTTGTTTTTTTTGGTGTTTTTCACAAAATCCCTTAAATAGTCATAAACAGTCACTTACTGGAAGATAAAATATTACCTAAGTTTATTAATGAGCTGTTTTAAACACTGGTGTGTTTTCAAAACAGTAGAATTACTGAATATCAGATAAAATGTTATTGATGATGCTTATTTCCAAAATGCCTTTTGTATGTCCAATATTAGCAAAGTCACTTTCATGTGCCTCAGTTCATGTATGTATAAAATATTGTTTCAATCCAGTATAGTGTTTTTGGAATACAGATTTTCCAGGCTAGTATCTTATGAAGGGGAATTTTCTCTTAACTAGGTTCAGTAAAGGCACACTGTGTCATACCCATTATGGGGGAATGCTACTTTGAAATGGCTATTTTACCTCATAAGGCTGCAAATTTGATCCATATGCTACATGATAGATTTTAGTGTATTTAATGGTAGGATATATTTTCCTAAAACATCCCTTATTAGGTTATATAACACTGCTTTTAAATAGATACTTTGTCATTTTGGCCAAATTAAATACACTGAATAGTTATAATTAAAGTTAAAAATGAGGGGAAAGTCCAGTTATTTTAGATATAAAATCATTTTTATTATAAAATGTTTAACAAAATTTTAAAAATACATTGAACTATAAGTTTCACTGTCTTTTAATTTTTTAATTTTTTGTTATAGTGTATGAATTATTCAATATTTGCCATCTGGGTTAATACATAAAAAGAGTTTACTTTTTAAAAAACTGTATCTGAATTTAAAAGGCATACAGGTCTGACCATAAGGAGAATTATTACATGTAAACATTTCAACTTTGTATGAAAATGTTGAATATTGTAAGAAAGCCATCCTCTCTCATTTTTACCTTTACTCAGATTATTATAAAGATTGAATGGGTGTGGATTGCTCTCAGCTGTAATCACTCCTGTGTGTCAGCACTTACTGACCACCTACTGTGTGCACAGCACTACTGGTAAAGACATTGTCAAGACATTAATTTTAAAGAATATTTTTAAATTGCCTATAAATCTGAGCCTTGTAATAACGTATATTTAAGTTATTTTGGTTTTTATAGATTAAAATATACTGTCCAGCTATATATAGTACTAAAAAAAGACTGATTTTAATTTTACCAATGTATAAACTATAAAAGCTCTTTATAGACTTAACAAGTACATTTTAAAATGACCTATTATGGCTGTTTTAAAATTGTCTGTAGCAATTTGTAAGGTTGTAGTTATTAACTCATTTAAGAAAATTATCTTTCTATATAAAGGCATTTTCAAATAGCAAGCTAGTAATTGTCTTTTGTTATAACATTGAGTGCAATTCAGTAAAGCTGCATGGCAAAGTATGTATTATGTAAATAAATTGGGTTTACTAAATATATTAAGTGCTGCTTGTCTTTCTTTATAGTACATAACAGCTTTAAAATCATATTTTAGAATCAGAAATGAAGATTCAGGGAATATCTGTCACATCTTTTGGCGTCTCACCTGGAGAGTATCCGATTTGAAGACTGATTGACTGGCATAGAGCTGTACAACTCTCCATTTGGCAAGTACCTACTAGAGATACATTTTGCCCTGTATTAAATATCCAGGGGCAAAGCCTATACTTCTGAATTCCTGCCAGTTACTGAGCTAAGTAGGTCCATATCCACCCAAAGTCTTCATTTCTGGTAATTCTACCCCTGCCAGAGTGTATGAAGAATTAGCTCAGCGATTAGGGTTTGGGTAAAGTGTGTTACATACGCATTATCGTAACTGTTCATATGAAGTATAGATGCTATTGCGTACCATGGTCTCCCGAAACTTTGTATCATGCTTCCCAAGCAGGTAGTGAGACAGTGATCTAGAACTGAAACTACCTTTAAGAAAACATTTTCTGGGCTGGCAGGTGGCGTGGTGGTTAAGTGCACTGGACTCCTACTTGGCTGGCCAGTTTGAGTTGCAGACCTGGCAGCTTGCTTTCTCACTTTCCCTCTTCGTCCCGCTCTGGTCAAATTAAACTAAATAAATAAAATAAAAATAAAGTTAAACAAAATAATTCTTTAGGAAAAAAAAGAAAACATTTTCTAAAGAGAGAGGTAAATAGCAGTAAAGGTTTCATGAAAAAGTAGAAGCTCCATCCTTAGATGGCTGAAATGAGCAGCCCTCATTGCAAGGTCCTAGTCCTGCACCCATCATCTGGAATCAACATACTACCCAACATGCATATAATCTTGACTATGCCAAATAATAAAACCAGAAAAGTCATGCGTTCAGTTTGAAAATATTAACTACTGTTATATACGATGCTTGAACTGGGCTTCTTTGTAAAGAGATTAGGCATTTAAATGATAATTCAAATGGTAGCATATATTTTTCTCTAAAATCAACTATAACTGAACTTAAACAGTGATATATTGCAAACTGTTTTTATATAACTTTTCTAATTTGCTGCTGCTTTATGCCATTAATTGATGATACAAAGGACCCAGCTCCTATGGCACAGCAGTAACTCTAGGGCCCTGCAGTGGTGGAAGCCAGATAGTGACTGTGGTTGGACTCCTGAGTTGTCCTGAAACACATGCCAGGTGCATATGCTGACACTCAGAGTCCTGAGTTGGGGCTGGGTAAAGTGAGACAGTATCTAGGGTTGTTTGCTTGCTCTCTTTAATGTGCTTGCACATGCTTTCTATCATAAAGGGAAGAAAGATTCAAAGCCCTTACTTTTCCACATGACATCTAAATGTTACTACTTAAAAAAAAAAATTCATTTATAACAAATAAGATGACTATCTTCATAAACCACCAATTAAAGGACTTCAGTTTGTGGAATACATAAGAAGATAATTAAACTTAGTCCATCAATCCAATGAATAGATTTTTTTTTTAATGTACCAAAGCCTCTTTTCTAAAATCATGAAGAACTATAATATTTACTTAATATTTCACTTGATATTATCTGTGAAAGAGAAACAGTTAACCCCAATAGGGTCCTCACTACAATCCACCTCCAGCCTCAGCCTGGATCACAAGCACACATGCACATATTCAGATTGAACAGAGCCCCTGGGATACAACTAATGTGGGTCCAGTTGTGTTACTGCTCTGCCATTCTGGCCCCCACCAAATATTTTTAAATATGTATTTAAAATATTATTTTAAAATATAAGTTACGTATGTTATCAATCTTTACCAGGGTTTAAAAAACAAATTGTGGTGGCCAGCAGGTGGTATAGTTGTTAAGGCATTAGACTTCCACATGGCCAACTGTGGTTTGAGTCCCAGACCCAGTGGCTTGTAACTTACTTATTCATGCCCAAAATCCTGAAAGGAGAATAGAGGGAAGGGATTGCAGCATGGCCATGCCCTCTGCAGGGTGATTTCTGGCTGTCCCTCTGCCTCTCCATCTCTCCACCGAGTGCACGTACCCGGTCAAATTAAACTAAATAAATAAAATAAAAATAAAGTTAAACAAAATAATTCTTTAGGAAAAAAAAGAAAACATTTTCTAAAGAGAGAGGTAAATAGCAGTAAAGGTTTCATGAAAAAGTAGAAGCTCCATCCTTAGATGGCTGAAATGAGCAGCCCTCATTGCAAGGTCCTAGTCCTGCACCCATCATCTGGAATCAACATACTACCCAACATGCATATAATCTTGACTATGCCAAATAATAAAACCAGAAAAGTCATGCGTTCAGTTTGAAAATATTAACTACTGTTATATACGATGCTTGAACTGGGCTTCTTTGTAAAGAGATTAGGCATTTAAATGATAATTCAAATGGTAGCATATATTTTTCTCTAAAATCAACTATAACTGAACTTAAACAGTGATATATTGCAAACTGTTTTTATATAACTTTTCTAATTTGCTGCTGCTTTATGCCATTAATTGATGATACAAAGGACCCAGCTCCTATGGCACAGCAGTAACTCTAGGGCCCTGCAGTGGTGGAAGCCAGATAGTGACTGTGGTTGGACTCCTGAGTTGTCCTGAAACACATGCCAGGTGCATATGCTGACACTCAGAGTCCTGAGTTGGGGCTGGGTAAAGTGAGACAGTATCTAGGGTTGTTTGCTTGCTCTCTTTAATGTGCTTGCACATGCTTTCTATCATAAAGGGAAGAAAGATTCAAAGCCCTTACTTTTCCACATGACATCTAAATGTTACTACTTAAAAAAAAAAATTCATTTATAACAAATAAGATGACTATCTTCATAAACCACCAATTAAAGGACTTCAGTTTGTGGAATACATAAGAAGATAATTAAACTTAGTCCATCAATCCAATGAATAGATTTTTTTTTTAATGTACCAAAGCCTCTTTTCTAAAATCATGAAGAACTATAATATTTACTTAATATTTCACTTGATATTATCTGTGAAAGAGAAACAGTTAACCCCAATAGGGTCCTCACTACAATCCACCTCCAGCCTCAGCCTGGATCACAAGCACACATGCACATATTCAGATTGAACAGAGCCCCTGGGATACAACTAATGTGGGTCCAGTTGTGTTACTGCTCTGCCATTCTGGCCCCCACCAAATATTTTTAAATATGTATTTAAAATATTATTTTAAAATATAAGTTACGTATGTTATCAATCTTTACCAGGGTTTAAAAAACAAATTGTGGTGGCCAGCAGGTGGTATAGTTGTTAAGGCATTAGACTTCCACATGGCCAACTGTGGTTTGAGTCCCAGACCCAGTGGCTTGAAACTTACTCATGCATGCCCAAAATCCTGAAAGGAGAATAGAGGGAAGGGATTGCAGCATGGCCATGCCCTCTGCAGGGTGATTTCTGGCTGTCCCTCTGCCTCTCCATCTCTCCACCGAGTGCACGTACCCTATAGCAAAAATCTCTCAAAACAAAAAACAATTACGTATAATGCAAGAACTATGCCAAACAAGTTATTCAAAAGGTAATTCAGAAATCTTAAGTTTCTGCCTTAGTATCATCACTATAAGTATCAGCAACAGTATTAACTTTAAAAATTGTGCTAGGAAGCCTCCTTGTAAAAATTCCAGGTCAAAATGGGTTTTCTTACTTAAATTCTAACCTGAACTCCTTAAGAACGGAGATCTAATCTTATACATTTTTCTATTCTGCTAGCTGGTACACAATAGGTACTTAATGTCTGTAGTGTGAATGAAAGAACAGAATAGAAGTTTACATCCAAAACTTTTAATAAGACAAATAATGAAAAACTCCAAAGAGTGATTATAAAGAATATGCAATCCATTTGGGATTTATTGTATTTAAAGAAAGCAGATTATTAAAACAGTAGGTATGATAAATACAGTAAGAAAATAACTTTAAATTTCAAACAAAACAAAGTGAATCAGAGACAATTTCAGTCAAAAAGAACAAGCAATGTAAAGGCAATAAAGTAATAAAATCAGTTAGTGCTTCATTAGATACAGGGGCAGGGGAAGCAACTGATTCTACCTCAGAACAGTTTCCCAGCTATTTTGCAAGTGTGTTTTATAACAATTAGAAATATAATAAAGACATAAATCCTGTTTATTTAAAGGTTAAAGTTACTTGCTTAGTGGTACAATAAAAGGCTTCAGAAAATTCAAGTTTAACAAAAATTGGAAGTGTAATCAAAGAAAGTGCACTTAATGCTGTTTGCCAGCAATTTAAAAAGTAGCTTCTATACTATTGTCTTTTCAATCACAAAAGGAGCATAGTCATATTAAAAAACAATTCTCATTCAAAAGTAGCACTATAAATTTAAAAATAAAAATAACCCCCAATGATGATTCTTTACATTTTTATCAATCTTATTTTTTAGTGGCTTTTGTAAACCTTCACTAGGAGTGAATGTGGTTTTAGATAATGATTGTGGTTGCAATTCCATTTTTAAAAGTTCACATTAACTCCGCAGTAGAGATGTGACATGTGCATGCATGTGTGTGTATATATATTCTTATCTTAATATATAAAACACCACTGAGTATAAAAGGTTTAAAATTAAACTATCACTTATGTTATTCTCACAGTAGATATGTCTTCTCATTCTCACAGTAGACTGTCAACTCAACAATTGGACCTAAAATGGTAAGAGTAGTTTTGCTAAAAAGAAAAGTAAAACAACAAAAAGAGTTCACTGCACATTCTACATATATTAAAACATATGTACCCAAACTCCTCAGAACTAGTGATACTGATACACTTGTACCTTCCAAGAGTGCTCATATGTAGTACCAAAACCTTAGAACAAATCAAGCAGAGTAGCTGACTAGTCAGAACACCACCCTACCTATTGGACATCAGCACAGTAGAGTGAGCTCCACTTTAGGATTTTCCACTGACAAGATGAAGACAACAGTCTAACACTGTTTCAGTACAGGGTAGGGTCAAAAGATGCATCATCTGCAAATCCAGATAGTGTCCTAACTGTGCCCAAATACACACATACACAGGGATGGGGAGTACACTTCTGAATAAATATTCTAGCCAGTTATATTTTCATCCAGCCTACCACCTGATCTCCTCCACCTAATATGTATACCAAGCAATTTTTGTGTCTTAGCAGATACATTCTTTAATGCCATAAAAGCTGATCTTTTTAATAATATTTTTACTGAAGTGATATTAAAATAATTAACCAAATGGTCCACTTTTTTAAAAAGATTACTCAAAATCAATAATCTTTATTAAAGCTGTTAGGAAACAACTTTGGCCTTAAGATTTCTGCTAGCTTCATATTATTTTACTTCCCTTAGTGATGTTCAAGTATAACAGGCTTAAAGTTATGACTATTTTACACCCTATTGAAGCACAGGGAACACCCACATAATAACTAGAAAAAAAATTTCAACTTTCCTTAAACCAGAATTAGACCATCCCATAATAGAGCCAAACTCTACTGAGTGCTGCCTGCCAGGTACTGTGTTAAGTGCTTTCACATGTCTTAGGAGCTTTATTCTCACAATTGTCATAGGGAATTAATTACCTGGGCATCAAGTATGTGGAATGAACTACACTTTGACCATGGTGGTGGGAGGGGATGAATGAAAACAGAAAGTATAAATCCACACTCCTTGGGAAAACGCCTCTACTTCAACATGGTCTCCCCATTTCTAGACCACTGGATTTCCTATTGAATCCTACAAACTTTGCTCTGAGCTACCATCTCAAAAGAGCAAAGTCACTGGGCTGGGCTGTAACAAGCAAATGTAAATCTTGTTTTCCTTAGAATTTATCTAATACTATAAGCCCAAAGGATCTACATTAGTGCCTGAATCATTTAAAACTATTCAGTGTATTGAAAAGCCAGTATTTTATGTTTATATCCCAAGGAGACCACGTTGGTTCATCCACTGCTCCTTCTGTGACAAAATTCATGAGGTTTAGCAGAGACCAAGTACTTCAAACAGTCAAAGAAGCATACTGTGGACACATCAACCAACAGATTTTCACTTAAAACAAACCAAAAAAAGTGGTAACAAACCTACTGTAGTTCATAAATTTACTATATGTAATCAACTCTTCATTTTAAAAAGAAAGTATTACTTGAATCCGTTTTGTTTTAAAGATCATCTATTTGAGCATTTGCATTAGCAATATTAACCTGAGAATCAGAAAAAAGGGTGCAAACATAGTATTTGCCTTTGGCACAAAGACAAGAAATTGGTGCAGTCCAGCTTGAAAACTACAACTGTAAGTGGTATTATAATGCTTGGTCTGCCTCTGCTACATTGTGATTCACATATTGTTTCCCTATCTTCCACAAATTTATATCTGATTTAGCATATAAAGGAGGAGAAAGAAATAATAAAAAAATGGTTATGTGGTTTAATACCCAGACTTTGCCTTTTTTTCCTGGTTCAGAACTGTGAAAATAGGCAAATAGCTTATCCCATTGGGCACTATAATGAAGAGATCCTAATAAGGTTACTCATAAAAATAGATTTTAATTGAATTAAATTTAAAATATAGCAATCAAGGAGAGTGCCAGTTGATAAGAGTTTCCACCCTTTTGGAAATAACTCTAACAGTTCTAGAAACTTCAAATGTTAATCTGATAGAAGACAATTAATTATAACTTAAAATACTTGCAGACACAGGAAATACAGATATGTACTCACATTAATTCATATATGTCATTTCTATCATTAAACACAATTCCTATAAAATCTCAAGTTTCTAATTGGGGAACAGAAAAGGCAATTTGGTAGCTGGGTTATTAGCACTGAAGACACAATCGACTAGCAGAATTAAGAAGCTAGTCCCTCATCATCTAATACTTTATAAACATCATAGGATCTGGTGTGTTCATGCAGGGATACTTTAGCAGGGTACATGAGTCCTGCCTATAAGGCTTTATGGGTGTCACTGTTCTGTGCATTTTATTGAAACTATTCTACCCTCCAAACCTACCTAAAATAATTGTTGCTCATGACTTGGGGAATATTTGGTAAAGGTGGTAATTTAATAAAGTAATTACTAATGCAACATGATTTTACATTGTAAACGTCTTAAATATCAGGGCTTCCACTACATATTTTTCCTAAAATTTTTATATAAACCTTATCCTCACTCCCTCCCAGTTTTTCCAATAATCTACTTTTTTAGCATGATAATAAGAGTTTAGAGGAAGAAGCCATTCAGAAAGAAAATATAGCATGTTTCTGAAGTGCTGAAATTTTTTTATCATCTTTTTCTTTTATACTTTTCAAATGAGATTTCTGTTTGTTTTTTGTTCTAGGCTTCTATTTAACTATTTCATATCTTTACATTTATTAATTGACATAAAAATTGTATATATTTATATGTTTTTGTTTTGAAATTTGTATACACTGGAATAGCAAAATCAAGCTAATTTACATATGCATTATTTCATATAGTTAAGTATTCCATATTAATGGCACTTGCTTTTAAAAATAAAAGTTTTAGGCACAATAGTTACTTCTGGCTCTGCTTTGTAGATAAAGGTTCAGTATGGACCGAAATCTCTGTACACTCCAGATAATAACTTTCTAATCTTCGTGAGAACTAGGATCATCAGAAAAGTCATGATTATCATTCTATGTTTTTCTATGCAAAAATGTGTCAGACTTCTCAGACAACCCAACATTCTTTATTGTGTGTATGAAAATCAGAAGAGACCTTTAAAAATTCACAAATATAATCTGTGTGTGTACAGATAACCCTAGTTTTAAATGCTGGATCTGGAATGAGCCTGGGATATGCACACAGAAGTGACATTCTGATATCAAAAATAACAAGATAGTTTTACTGTCCCTTTTCAGTGGCTACACCCCTGGAAAGGTGCTGCGTACTTTTGACCAGAAGTACCATTCTTGCATTTTTGTGTTGTGATGTCAGTAGCAGAAACCCTTGGTTAAGAGCTTTCAATGTAGCTCACTTTTCTCCTGCCTGGAAGAGGCATCAAGTTACTACCCTGTACAGATACTTTCTTTTTCTATTTGGTTTATTTCAAAATCACCTATTCTGATTGAGCTATAAGAATGAATGATATAAAGAGCTATACAAATAAGTGACCTTTCAAATTCATAAAACTGTTCATAATTTTTTGAAACAGGAGTTAATGCCAAGAATCCATCAGAAGTATCTACTGTTTAGAAGGAAATGGAGCAGCACCAAATGGGTCTAATTCGACTGGTTGGGACTGTTGGGACTGATGTGGAGTGATGCTTTGTACCACAAGTTCTGTAAAGGGCACAGCACCAAAATCATCCATTTTCAACGCATCTGCACTGTGGAATGGCCCGTGTAGTGAATTCTGTCTTTGCCGCCCAGGCAAGACGGTATTGTGATCAGCACGGATGTCATTCAGGCCCTGGTGTGAGGGGTGCCATGGCAAATCTGGAGGATGAAAGGGCTTGGCACCAAAGGGGTCCAACAGATTCTCCTCCGGTTGTAGGACATTTCCCCTGTCCTTCCCATCAGTTAGTGCAATGCTAATGTTCTCCTTGGAGTCTGAAATGGTTAAAAATTCATTGCTGCTTTGAGAGTCTCGGCGGCCCACTTTTTTATGTCTACGGGCTCTCTCTGGAGTGCGATAGGTAGGCTTCAAAGTCTTCTTTGTGCTAGTTGGTGTGCCATGGTGCCGCTTCCCATTACTTTTTGATATATCTTGCTTTGTGCGCCGTTGTCGAGAGGACAGTTTCTGTAAGCTACGCTGTTTGACTTTTTGCTGCTGATTCCCTGTTATTTCCTCAAAGGGCACAAGCCCAAAAAGGTCCTCACTGCTTTCACTTTTACTTATTGATGTGGGAAAGGGCTGAAATGGAGTAGAGCCAAATATATCTACACTTTTGGGACAACTAGGAAGAGTATGTGCCTCCAGCCCCACAGTATGGCAGTCTTGTACATTCACCTTCTTGCTAAAGGGTGCCTTTGTGAACACATCATATTCCTCCTGTTCTAGTCCCATAGTAGGAAACTTCTGTTGAGAGAGGTTCTTTTCGTTCTTTCCTTGCTGGGGATGTTGAGTGTGCACTGCAAAGAAGGGCACGGCACCAAATACATCAAATTCAGGTTTGGAAGTCTCTACCCCAACATCAGCAGGTGATTGGGCAGGAGTGAGGAGTGTTATGTTAGGGTCTTGGGTTGGTCCACTGCCATACTTGTCTCTGTAGACAGGGCTCACATTGCTGTATTTTGCTTTAGTCTGCTCATAATCAGAATCAGAGCTATGTTTCTCTTCTTCCTCATCTTCAGAATCCATGAGGAGAGGCCTATGACCGAGATTTTCTGGTTCCGTGTCATCATCATTAAAATCTCCTTGTTCTCCCTGTAGAACTTCTTCGTCGTCTTGTTCTTCCTCTTCACTGCTCTTAGGAGAAGGGGGATCTGATTCAAAATCACTTTCAGATTCATCATTCCCCTTCTGCACTTGGCCTTGTACCGATGAAGTGTCCATGGGTTTCTTTCCAGCCCGCTGATCTTTACATACTGGACTTGCTTTTCCATTCTTAATAGCGTTTGCAATGCTGCTTTCTTGATTCACAGATGAAAGTTCAACTTTCTTTTCAGGAGAACCTGTAGGTTCAAAGAAAAATTATTATTATAGCACCCCACTGCACTTCAGATTCCATTTCCACTAACTGTTAATATGTACTAATATATGACATTGTAAATCCCTCATACCAGTTCCTATACAGAAAAAAAAAAAAAAGAGTATCAGTTCTTTGTCCTTAGCCTTTGAGAATACACTTGTTCACAACTACATAATTAATGCAGACAGACTTACTCATCTCTGGACACTACACACAGCCTACTCATCATAAACCCTCACTGACAGCTAAATTTTATGTATAGCACCAAGAATACAACCCTCCATGTAGTAGGCAAATTTTCTTCCCCACCCCCATCAAAGATTTAGCTCATTCTGACTGTTTTTCCAACAAGATCAACAAGCATGAAGAGCTTATCTTAATTTCTGACTGATTTCTTTTTTAATTGACATCCTACTTTTTATAAACCAATATATTTTAAACTGAGTTTATCAGAGCTAAGAACCAGATACCAAACAGAGTTTTTACCAAAGACCTCTATCTGCCTTCTCTGGGTGACCTATCTGACTGTACTACATTTCATTAAAAGCCTACTGCCTTTAAAAACAAATCTAAACCATTAGTATGTTAACTGATGGATAATAAAATTATAGCCAACATATGGAGTGCTTTGCGACTTAAAGTACATAATAAAGACAGTATGTTAGCGTACATGAAAATATACTACCTTCCCAATACTTGGTATACTAAATTGATTTTCCAGAATTGGAGATCAATTTTTATTGATCCAACCCCACATTCTCATCCCTTTCCTTCCCTTTGACTAAGATCAAATATTTCAAAACAACTAGCTAGGAATGGTAGTATATAGTCTGTAGTTAGGAAAACTAATTAGCTTATCTCGGAGGGACAACTACTCTCCATTAACACACTGGTCTCAGGCTTATGACACCTTTGAGTATGCCCTACTCTTTGAAAATTCAGCAATGCTATCTTCCTGTATCTCAAGACTGATCTTTCACTAACATCTCCTTAAATACATACGTTTCCCAGGTTTTATCCTTAGCTATGTCTCTCCTTTGCATGCTCTCCCCAGGGTATTAACTACTCACATGGTGACTGCCAATACACCAGCAGTCTGTGGCCAATTCTAATGTCTTTACTCCAGATCTTATTTCTGAGTTCCAGACTCAGGTCTCTAACACTTGCCATGAATACTTACCAAAGGACTGACAATACATTTCCTACCATTACCTCAAAAACAGTCATTTCAAAAGAGATCATCTTTCTTCTTAAAATATATCCCCTCACCAGTTCCCTCTAAATTAGTGAATACCTCCATCCACTCAGTTCTTCAAACCAGCAGG